TCTCTGTTCAGAGACAAAGCCAAGGAACTGCACGACTGGATCGAACAGCTTGAGTCTGAGAAGTTTGACCTGATGGAGAAACTCAAATGCCAGAAGTATGAGGTAGGAAGAAGAATCAGTGAGACCCTCGGCTTTTAGTTCCCCTTTTGGGCAGGTCTGTCAGATCTAAAATGAAACAGGTTCGGAAAGGTACACAAAGATGAACATCCCCTATCTTATTTCAGTGTTAAAAGAACACCCAACAACAAGAAACACTCATATCTGTCCTTAACATCTGTTTCCTCTAACTCCACTTCTATAGTTAAATGAACTACCCTTGAGAAACAATCAATGAACTCCTCCAGACAGGGCAAACATGTTGGGAGGATGGAGTATTTCTTGCTGTTGTCTTCTGTTGTTGTTGTTGTTTTTAAAAATCCAAATTGTGTTTTCTGGCAATCCCCAGCACCACATGCAACATTTTATTCCCAACCTTGAGTGAGTTCCTTTTTAATTACAAGACATGCGCTTTCTTTCCTTTTATTTATTTATTTATTTATTTATTTATTTATTGTAAGAGCTACAGTGCAACTGTGAAGTGGTACTTTCTAGGTGGATGAGGGAAAATTAGGACATTCACATGAGCGTTGTTAGGGAATGTAAGAGACAATACAGTCGGCTCTTCATATCCACGGATTCTTTATCCATTGATTCAAGCATCCCTGGCTTGAAAATATTAAATATATATACATATATAAATTACAAAAAGCAAACCTTGATTTTGTCATTTTATATAAGGGACACGATTTTACAATCCATTGTATTTAATGGGACTTGAACACCCACGGATTTTGGTATCCATGAGGCATCCTGGAACCAAACCCAATGGATACCAAGGATCTACTGTAGTACCGTATATGTCACAAATTGGATACAGTAATTAATATTTGCAAGCAGAAGGGGGACAACAATTGATCCCATATCATTCTCACTACAACACACAGGGTCTAGCAGAGAAATAATAAAGTAGACATAGGGCCTTTGCAGACTGCTAGAAATAGTGAAAATTGAGTCCACTTTAACTGCCCTGGCTCATTGCTAAGGAATCATGGGAATTGTATTTTTTTTCTGAGACATTGAGCCTTCTCTGTCAGAGAGCTCTGGTGCCACAATAAAATACAGTTCCCATGATTCCCTAGGATGAGTCAGGGCAGTTAAAGTGGCCTCAATTTGCACTATTTCTGGCAGTCTGTAAAGGCCCAAAGTCTTCTTTGTAATAACATACAAAATAAGATTAGAACTATTAAAGATTTCATAAAAAGGAGGAAGGGAAGAGAAAAAAAGGAATGTGGCAGCAACTTTATGACTAACTAGTTTTTTAATTTAGTGTTAACTTTCATGGATATAAACCTACTTTCTTCAGATGCAGTACAAAGTGATATGCATCTGAAGAAATGGTTTTACAGCCACATAATAAACTTGTACTCATTTTTTTAAGTTAGGGCCTTTGCAGACGGCTAGAAATAGTGCATATTGAGGCCACTTTAACTGTCCTGGCTCAGTGCTAGAGAATCATAGGAATTGTAGTTTTTCTGAGACACTGAGCCTTCTCTGTCAGAGAGCTCTGGTGCCACAATAAACTACAGTTCCCATGATTCCTTAGCACTGAGCCAGGACAGTTAAAGTGGATTCAATTTGCACTATTTCTGGCAGTCTGCAAAAGCCCTTAGTCTTAAAGGTGCTGCCACATTCTTTTTTTTTTCTTCCTCCTCCTTTCCTCTATTAACTATTAAAAGGAAGGACAGGAATGTTCTTTATTTAACTATTAACACAGCTACTTCGTTGAAAACTACCGTAAAGGTATATCATAAAATCTCATAGTGAGAGATTCTATAATGTGTTCTTCAAATGAAGAGAGAAAAAGAGAGAACTGCTTGACTACAAAATGTAAGACACACAAAGTCAGAAAAACTACAGGCTGTCTCCATCACAACTACCTTCTTCTGTATCAATTCAAAGGCAGATATTCCATACTCACAGGCAAGTAGGCATTCCCCTTGGCCTTTTTTTGGGGGGGGGGGACACACAAGAAAGCAAAACCACAGAAAGAGTAAACTGAATTGGGTGAAGGAAGAGAAACAGTCCTTTTAATCTGGTTTTTCCCCTCTCTCTCTTCAGAAATGATCATAGTCACAAGGAAAAATTTGAAGTTTTGTCAGGACACATCAGGAAAATTCTCCTTTCTAGCCACATTTGTTTAACCACAGGGACAGTCACACCAAAAAGGAAAGGAACAATCAACACAACAAGGGGACAGTGAGGCACATTCACTGTCACTGTCCAAGTGTGTAGAGAGAGTATATGTGAATGTATGCATGCATACTTCTGATTAAATATGTACAGTAGTCCTCCGCCTATTCAACAAGTTAGAGGCTAGAGCACTGACAAAAAGCGGAAATCATTGAAATGTGGAACCCACATTGCTGTATATTGTATTATATTATTATATAACCAAAAATATAAGTATGAATACCTGTACAGTACTGTATTATAAGCACATCCTGACACCACAAAGGACCTTTACACAAATGGAATGAAAAGATGGCGTCCAGCCGGGGGGAAAATAGCATGTCGTTGCAAAAGCATCATGCAAAGCATCATTCCGTCTACGTACTGTGTACTGTAGAAGTAATTTCTGGTGTTGCCATGTGCTTATAATACAGCACTGTGCATGTATTCATACTTATATTTATGCTTATATTTATTAAAAGAGCAGGCCACATGTTAGATAAATGGGTTCTGGCAATTAATCTTAGGTTTTTCCCCAAGTTCTCCTAAAAGATTCGCATTGTCGGCTGTGTGAATCACTGATGCAAATAGACCCAGGATAAACCAAGATAAAACTCTGCATGCCTTGAACGTGTGTCGAATACATCTGGATCATTGAGTCCATCTTTATTTGCAGTGCTGACCTGTGTGAGCAATCAAACTTGCAGAGCTGTGGTTCCAGTAAATAGTGCGAACAACAAAACCAGAATGCGTGAGGAGTCATTCACACACTAGTTTTTTTAGAGGGACTGTGCGAATAATCTCATGCATCCTAGGTTTGTTGTTCACACTATGGAACTGTATCTCTCTGCACATCTCTGTGAGTTCGGTCGCTCACATGTGCCAGCACTCAAATAAATATAAAGTCAATGATGCAGATGTATTCAAAACACATTGAAGGCATACAGAGCTTTATTCCAGTTTATCCCAGGTCTATTCACATCAGTTATTCACAGTCAAGAATGTGAATATTTTTTTAAAAACCCGGGGGGGGGGACGGACCCAAGATCAATTATCCTGGGTTAAGTGGGTTTTTTGGCAGCCACTCTAAAAAACTTAATTGAATGCATTCAAAATGCATGTGAACAACAAAGATTCAACCTAGATCTATCTGGATTATTAACCCTTGAGATTCTTTGGATAGTTGTGCTAGAAGAACAACGATGTCTGAATAATCCCTGAGGAACACTCTGAGGATGGGCGCCAAGGACATCACACAAGCTCAAAATATTTCCTTCCTCTCTCTCAAAGGAGCACTACTTGGTGCAAGTCCGGAAGCCAGTGACTATAAGACTACAAACCAGAAAATACAGGAAAGGGATGCTGTGGGGTGAGATGACCAGCTGTCCACCTCCAGCTTGTACACATTAGCCTCAAGAAATCCAAAGTCTCCCTAATCAATACCATTAAATTTGGCAAAGGTTGTGAGAAAACCAAACTAGCTAGGCACACAAGCATCAAGCATCATCCTAAATTATTCACTTATGCTTTAAAAAGAAGATAATAAAGCACAAGTATATTCTCGGAGATGGGACTGTACCTCAAGCCAAAATGATCACCTTCATCGGCTTCTTCTCCATGTTGTTTTTCTCTTTCTCTCTGCAGATCAATGTCCTTTACAACCGTATCAGCCACGCCCAGAAATTGTGAGTAGTTTGTAAAGTGTAGATTTTTCTACAACAGAGAGTGGCATTCACTTGAGAGCAGGTGTGAGAGTCCAGATGCACAACACTGCACAAAGGGATTCCCCCCCAAAAAACCCCCCAACAATTTCAGGTTTTGGAAAATGCATGTTTGAGTTTCATGTCTTGGAGAAGCTCAAATTCAGATCTTGTCAGGGAAGCCAGGCTAGCCTGTTGCAGGAAAATAACTAAAACAGTTGTGTGGCACCTTTAAAACTGGAGATCATCTGATAGGATGAGGTTTCGTGGAGGCACTCCAGTTTTTGAGGTGAATCTGAGGAAGTGGGTTGTAACCACAAAAGCTCATGTTGCAAGAAGTCTGCCCACCTTAATGGTGTGACAACTGTTAAGCATGAGCTTTTGTTAATTTGCTGAACCAGAACCCATCAGAAATGGAAATCCAACTATTGCACTGAACATTCACTCCAAATTCAGAATATTTGAGAATATTGAATTTCCCAATATCAGTCATCTACATTCAAGGATTCGGGATGAATCTGACTCACACAAATTAAATTTCAGATAGTGCAAACCAGATAGATGGGATATAGAGATAAATAGATGCATTTTCCGTTTATCTGTGTTTTGTTTCTTCATTGTTTACTATTGACAGAAATGTGAAACATTCCATATATATATATATATATATATATATATATATATATACACACACAAAACGTGTGCATCTTTTCCTTGCAGCAAAAAGGGTGCCGGCAAAGCCAGACTTGGAGGCCGCTGGAAGTAAAACAAAAGAAAACCCACAAAAGAAACACCTGAGCCTTGTTGGCTGTACAAGTGACTATTGACTCCATCCCACTGCTTGCCTTTGTCTAGTTTTATGCTGAAACCTGACTACTTTGCCCTGTGTCCATTCTCCTCCACTGCCTGTCATATGTGTGATTGTAACATGTTGCATGTTATAAGCCATACACAATAAATCAGCTTCTCTCCTTTGTGGAATCTCTCTGCTTCCTTTCTGTTAATAGGTACACAGTGGGAAAGCATGAGAAAGCCAGTGTGGTGCAGTGGTTTAACTATTGGCCTAGGAGTCCAAGAGACTAGGGTTCAAATTCCTGCTCAGACATGAAGCCCCACCAAAATCCTTGGGACTCTGCTCCATCTCTTGACCTCTAGTGACAGAGATAGAGTTGTGCTGCAGTGCCACCTACTGGCTGTTTTTACTATCACAAGAGTAGCCACATTGGCCATAGAACAAAGTACAATTGTTTGTTTAAGTTTTTGTGGGTTTTTCGGGCTGTGAGACCATATTCTAGAACAGGGACAGGCAACCTTTTTGAGACCTGGGCCAGTCTCAAAAGTGTTGCGTCCCGGCTGGGCCGAGGGGGGGGGGAATGGCAGCGTGCGCACGCTGCCACCGCGGCCGCTACTGCAGCCACCACCGTAGCACGCACAGCCGCAGCCGCCACGGAGCATGTCGCAGGCGCCATTTTGGAAGTCAAAATGGGGCCGTGACGCGTTTGTGGATGCACAAGAGTACT